AAATAAAATGGAGATTTTTTTAAGGCTAAAACCTCATTCAATTTTATGTCTTATAGGGTTTATACTGAGTTCAATATTGCATAACTGTATTAATTCAACTGTGAACCTAAAAATTTACAGCCACTTTTGAAAGAGATGCATCTTTGCTCTGATTGTTATTGAATATGTTAAAGCTGTAATGAAATGCTTCTGTTAATCATGTGGTTATTAAATAAATAATTAAAAAATAAAAAATAAAAGAATGGCTTACTTAGAAATAAGGAGATTTTTTTATTTTACTGTGTGTGTGTGTGTGTGTGTGCGCGCGCACGCATGCATGCCACAGAGTGTGTGTGGAAGTCAAAGGACAACCTTATGGAGTCGGTTCTCACCTTTACGTGAATATTCCAGGGATTCGAATGAGGATATCACTGCCAAATATCACAGCTGCTTATTGAGAAACAGCATGATGGAAACCATTGGGAACATGAGGATGAATTAAAATACATGTGGTTCTCATTTACATAGGGGTCCAGTTCTGAACGAAAACTTGTAGTCTAAACATGAATCCAATAATTATACCATTAACTTTAAAACCACAACTGGATGTGTGCTGTAAGGACATATGAAAGGAGGATCAATGGGCCCCATGTATGGTGGTTAGCACTCTGGACTATGAAAGGATCGTAAGGCCTAGACAGTAAGTGTTGGGTGACACTGTTCCTTGGGAGATGTAAATAAACACTCATTCCAGATAGAGAACCAATGAGATCAAAATAAACATTACTCATTCCAGATAGAGATCAAAAGTAAGGATACCACCAAAATCCAACTCGGTGAACCAATGAGTTTTACGGGGTTGCTTACAGGAATGTGGGTGAGGCGATACTTACAGAAGCGAAAAAAATGACTCCGAAGAACAGCTGCATCATCAAAGCCCACCTCAGCGTGAATGACAGCACACAAAAGCTGAAACCCTCTGAAGCTCAATGCGCTACTCTGCAGGCAGCTCAACAGGTTGCAGACTGTGTCTTCCAGGCAGCTCGGCTGGCCTATGTCTCTCACGGTCCTTGTGGCTTATATTTAGTTGGGAAGGAAGGGGTCTAGCGAATCTGGTCTGTTCAGGGACCTCGTGAAGCATTTTTGCACTCTTTGCTTCTTGAGCTTCCTGAAGGATGTAATGTTTCACCTCCCTGTTCTTAACCAGCCTCCCTCCAAGATGGAAGGATTTATCTGGGAGAATATTGCTGCACAATAAGTTGTACAAGTGATGACTGAACGGAAAGAGGAATGAACGTAGAGCCAATGGGGAAGGAAGACTGGAGAGAAGTGAAAAAAATGAATGAACTTGAAAAACAGGCACAGAGCACCTGCAGGCACCAGTACGATGATCAGAAACTGATACACGAACCTTGGTCTGCAAGCTAACAGAAGAGATCTTGCCAGTTGCCGATTGTGAGAATTCGGCCATTAACTGTCTTTGTCTCAATCTGAAAAATAAGGAAAATAGCATTTATCTTGCCAGACTATGTTATTGCAAATGTTGGAAGCCCTTTAGCTCACTTCTTGGCACACAAGAAATTTCATACTGATCTGACTTAGGAAGTCAGTATGATGTACGAGAAGCAGTATTCCTCAGCAGTCAAAAGCTGAATGCTTCGTTCAGACTATCTGGGTTCAAACCCCAGGTACAGTAGTTACAGGCTTTGTGACCGTGAACAAATGACAATCTTTATTGTATTCAGTTTCTATATCTGTGAAGGTACAATAATGGAAATACCTAGTTCATAGGTTTCTTGGGATTGTCAAAGGGGATAATGTATAGGCATTTGAAAGATTGCTCAAGTAAATACCTAGACTAAGCATATTGTATGGATAGGATGCTGTATCTGCACATGTGAACAAACAGTTAATTATTTTGATGTCATCACTCTAAGTAGGAGAATGAAACTAAATAAAGACCAAAGTCTTCACATAGAGAAGTTTGATATAGGACTTTAAAAATTAGTAAGTGTTAGCCAGACTAAAGGCTAATAATTTCCCTTGCTCAAGCTGTAGGGCACCCATTGCTATTGTGAAGATTGTCTGGGGTTGCAAGCTCAAGAAAATATTAAGAAAAGCTGGTGCTGAGAGACAGATCTCTGTAAGACTGAGGCCAGCCTGGTCTACATAGTGAGTTCCAGGTGGGCTGGGGCTACGGGAGACTCTCTCTCTTAAAAAATAATAAATAAATAAATAAATAAATAAATAGATAAATAAATAAATAAGAAGGAAGAAAGAAAGAAAGAAAGAAAGAGAGAAAGAAAGAAAGAAAGAAAGAAAGAAAGAAAGAAAGAAAGAGAGAGAGAGAGAAAGAAATAGCTGGTGGGAACTGAGGAGGTGGCTCAGTGGGTAAACTTACTGCACAAACATGAAGACTTGAGTTCAGAAACCCCCGCAATGAAAATCAGACAAAGCTGTATGCATCTGTATCCCAGCACTGGGAGGCACAGAAGGATTCCTATGGTTTGTTGGTCATTTCAGTCTAGCCAAATTGGTGAGCTCCGGGCTCAATGAGAGACCCTGTCTCAAAAAATAAAGTGGACAGTGATGAGGAACAAGACCCAATGTCGACCTTTGGCCTGTACATGCACATGGATATAAACACACACACACACACACACACACACACACACACACACACACACACATGCAGTCACAGAGGGTGATAGTTTCCTTTAAATAAATACTTTCATTCCAGATGTTTCCAGGAGCTGAAAGGAAATAACAGCATTAGCTTTTGAATCAGACAAATTTGAATTCTAACTCATCCCTGTTAATTCCTTTTGAGTGATTTTGTATGTTACCTCTCTTCACTGAGCTTCAATACACCAAACATTTGCAAGAAAGAGAAATAGTGCCTTCCCCACAAAGCCATCATGAGAATTAAACAGGATAATGCATGCGAAGTACTCTGATTGCCACATTATAAGCACTCGATAAATGTTAGCTGTTGTTCCTCTTTATGCCTCATTAAAGTTACACCGGCAGAAAACGTTAGAATTTGTTCCATGCATGGAGTAATTATATTGAACACAAGGATACTCCATATTGCCTATTCAACAATGGGGTATACAAAAAATATCCTGTATGGCAATGGTTACAGATTTTTTATCTCTGATGAGGATATGGCTCAATGAGTAGAGTACTCACTGAATAATCATGAGGACCTGAGTTCAGATCCCCCAAATAAAAATCAGACAAAGCTTTATGCATCTATAATCCTAGCACTGGGAGGCACAGACAGGTAGATCCCTATGGTTTGCTGGCCACCAGTCAACCAAGTCAGTGAGCTCCAGGCTAAATGAGAGACCCTGTCTCAAAAACTAAAGTAACTTTGAGAGTTGTACATGGTAGATTCTCAGTAAACCTTGAATAAATGATATTCGTGGGAAATTATAACATATAAATACTACATGCATGGCTAATTTTGGTTAAGCCATATAATGTTTTCCATTTTTCATAATAACACTTATGTTGTCTTATCAAATAAATATGCTTCACAAATATAATTTATATATTGATTAGCATTCTATAATGACTTGATATATAGTTTATTTAACTATTGTCATTATTCGGCTTTTAGTATGGGTAAAATTAGTTCATCTTTAAATATAAGGTATTTGTTACCATATCCAATGTATTCTTAGTTTGGGGTTGTAAACAACTTGAAAACATAATTATTGCTATTAAAAATAATTCTATGTTATCTCCTGCCATAGAAAAATGCATATTTACATAAGATATTGCTTGAAATTTCAAGAAGTTTATAAAATCCGTGAGGCCCAACTGTGATGCCCTGTCTCCAGGGCTTCAAGCCGATACCAGTGATATAAAATATGTAAGGGTGAGGCAGGACACAGACGTGCAAAGACCTTACCAGAACAACTGTGGAAAAGAAGAATCTCTAAAATACTGCTGACCACAGGGTATTTGAACATTTTCATAACATGACCTGATCCCACCTTGTTCTTACATTTGGCTGAGTCTGTGTTTTAGATTTTATATTAATGCTCTCTGTAACCTTCACTGAGTAACATTTACTGTAATATATCTTCATTATCCTTAGGAGTCTCGGCACAACCCCTACTCACTGTGAGGTCTGCATTTTGGAGACCTAGGACATTCCTGGAGCTCCTCCGGCTGTCACATCCTTCCCTGTGTATTTCTAATACATCATTTCTTTTTGGAAAACATACAGCATGACTCAGCATTGAGTACTGCAGTGCTAAAGGAAAGAAAGCAATACGTAATAATGCAAAAAATAAATTCAACACATTTAGCATGGAATACAGCGTGAAGAGTGATAAACATAAAAGGAAATATGCACAACATTGGGCCAGGTATATTATAATCCCAGAGTACAAGGCTTCAACTTGGCCTTTGCATCGTTCTAATGAATGAAGATGATAAACACAGTGATATACTTAATATGTAATTTCCAGTATGATGCTGATTCTACATGCCAATTTTGACAGTGTCTAAAGAATTCTGCTAGGGAGCCAATGAGAAGGTTCAGCAGGTAAAAGCACTTGCGGCCTAGACTGATTGATTGCCTAAGTTCAATTTCCCCCAGACCCATATACTGGAATGAGAAAACGAACACCTACAAATTGCCCTCTGACCTCCACACGCCCATTGTGACATGCAAACCCCCCCCACCCCGCTCCAGTAAATAAGTGTAATATAAATTTTTGAAAAAAGGAAATAATTCTAAGATCTCAAAATAGAGCAAAAAATGCTTTATATTTCTGGCTTTTCATTCTCATCTGTTTGCTTTTGAAATTAGAACAACAACCAAAGTGAATGCCAGGATAAGAGAGAGCACATACCTGTCTACACATTTCTGTGTGCGTGTATGTCTGAGTGCTTGAAGAGTTCTCAGTTACTATTGAGGTTCAAATAACACTGGAAAATGAAAAGTTGTCAAGCAAGTAGCTAAACAAGTCGTTTATATTAAAGCCTTTTATGTCCCCCTCTAGCTTCACCACCCTTCGCAAGGCTTCCGCTTTGGAACTGTCCGGGAAAGCAGTGCTGAAGATTATGTGAGGCAGAGCTTCCCAGAGATGCATGAATACATGAGAAGGTACAATGTACCGGCCACTCCGGATGGAGTGCAGCGTCTGAAGTGAGTGGCAACCTCTTGGACCCTAAATGTTCCCAACAAAAGAGAAAGCATTTGGCTTTGGACCTGGGCAAAAATTCCTACCATGCTTTTAGAATTAACTCCTACAGGAGCTGGGGAGATGGCTCAATCAGTAAAGTGTTTGCTGCTTATACGTAAGAACCTGAGTTGGATCTCCAGCACCTACATGAAAAGGAAATTACATACATGTTATCCTAGTTTTGGTGACGTGAGGGCAGGAGGACCACTGGGCCTTCTTGACCAGTCAGTCTGGCTAAATTAATGAAACCCAGGTTCAGCAAGAGACCCTGCTTAAAAAATAGGGTGGAGATTGATTAAGGAAGATATCTAGTGTTAACTTCTGGTCTCCACATGCATGCACACACATAAACACGTGCATGCATACATACATACACACACACACACACACACACACACACACACACAAGAAATCACTCAACAGTGTGAATCCAAGAGACGGTATGGGATGGTGTGCATGAAGAGCTACTTGGGTCATTAGTGGAGTGAATGGCTTGATATCACCAGAGTAAACAACAATACTGAGATAATCCAACATTCAGGGAATGTGACCAAAGGATAAATTGTCCCTAAGCAACCCTTTCCTTCATAGTGAATCTCTAAGCCAATAGAATGCCTTGTCTTGCCACAAGGAAATAATTTATCTTAGAGATTTCCTGTGGGAAGGAAATAGGACAGAAGGCAATGACTCCTATGCCTGTATCCTCCTCATCAGAATTTATGAGAAGCAATCAAAGGCAATCACACTGTCATGGCAGATTATCAGAGTCTGTAATTCAGTGAAACCAAATGCAAGGTAGTGTGGTCATGGGTCTACTGGTCTAGTCTGCCTGGGAGAAGGGAATGGAGGGCTTCCAGTGGGCACCCTTGCAGGAGGGGGACCTGTCCTCTTTCTCTCTTCCCTGATGGCATCAGCACAATAATTTGCATTCAACCCCCTAATGCCTACCTTGTCTAGCATCAGGAAACCAGTTTTTCCATCATGAGCTATTAGAATTGTCCCAGCGGACAGCAAGTCCTGCTTCCTCAACTTCTTTTTTTAAGAAGCAAAGGAAGTAAATAAAGAATTTCATGGCACATAAGAGCTTTGTGTCCCTCAAGAGCTCTAGTAATAGGCTCCTTAAACAATTTCATAGACTTTTAACTAGAGCTCGGAGAGGAACTTGTGTGCTCTTAGATTCACAAAGTTGTATACGGTGTTTAAGTACTATGAAATGACACTTAATTTTGCAAAAACATTAAAACATTAGACTCCCTCTCTGACACAGTTTAGAGCTCCATTGTCTCCTCAACGCTTTGCTGTTTTCTTTCCAGGCAATCATGATATGTGAGCGAGAATAAGATGTTAGGGAGAAGGCAATGGCTCCCAGCTAGCCAGCACTGGTTTACAAACAGGGTTTTGCTGACAGTGGCAGAACCACACTGCAGTTCCCAACAGCTCTGCTCCACTCAGTGGCTCTACCCAAGAAGGCCTTCATCTGTTGCCCAGTGTTGGCCACACCTTAGCCTGGAAAGAAGCAAACCTCAGAGGGCCAGACACAGTCAAACAAAGCTTGATGTTTTCCAAAGTTATATAATACCATGAGGCAGGACAAAAACCATGCTTCTGGAATCAATCAATGCTTCAAGCTAGTTCAGAAAACACAATGGAATAATAGGCCCTTGATGTTCGAAAAATAGTTCATGTCCCAGCAGCATCTGTTTCAGTTGGCGTCTGGGAGCTAGTCCAAAAGGCGCAATCTCGAACCCCATCACAAACCTACTGCATCAAAACCATCGGACCAACTAACTGCACTTTGTAGTTCAAAACCAAGAGTAGCAGTTAAGGACATCAGGGACTTGGGGCCTTAGGAAATAGTGGTTTCAAAAACCTGATTTAAACTTCAATTTTTTTTCTATTGTTACTGCAAATATTTATGTAATGTTGATGTTGCCTTGTAGCCCCACCAAAATGCATTCTGATGCTGTGAGAGCAAAACTTTCATTAGGGATATTTCTTTAGACTGGATTTCAATTTTATTGTACAGATTCCATTAAAGTACTCCTGGAAAATAATTCACGCTGCTCAGTCCTTTCAGGAACTTTTCCCTTCTATGTATCTTGGAAATGTTTTCATTTTAGTTGAAGTTAAACATCTTAAAACTGAGTTATTATAACTTTGGTACAATACCCCAATAATTAGCTAAATGCATTCAGAATTCTCTATTTCACTCCTGGAAGAATGAGAAAGGGATGCAGCAGCAATTGTTACCCAGAAGAGAAGTTGGCTGTTTGCTATGTAGCTGCATGAGCCCAGAGAAACTTATCAATTCCCGCCTGGTGATGAATCTTACAGGTGCCTGTGGATATTCTTCTCTTTTAGATTTTTAGTGAGCTGAAGCCATATTCTCCTCCGATTTAGAGGTGGCTTCTCTGTGTTGAATCTCAACAGCCTCATTCCTGTTTTTAAGAGAAGGACTGAGTCCACAAGATAAAGGAGTTGCCCTTCAGAGCTATTTGGACAACTCTGAGGGTATAAAAGCCTTCTGTTAATAGAAAAGAAAATCTTAGAGAAGGAAAAAGAGATGATGGAAGAAAGAGTGAAGGACAATAGAGGGGGGATATGATCAAACTATTAGATGAATGAAGATATCAGATGAGGTTGGTGACTCTTGTCTGTAATCCTGCTGCTCAGGAAGACTGTGAATTTGAAACTAGCAGGGGATATATAGTGAGGCCTTGTCAGCAAGAGAAAGAAAGAAAGACAAAGAAAGAAAGAAAGAAAGAAAGAAAGAAAGAAAGAAAGAAAGAAAGAAAGATAGATAGATAGATAGATGGAGGGCGGCTTACTTCACCTCAAATCTCCTATCAGTATCTGAAATATCATACATATTTGTCTTTGCTCTATTTAGTGGAATAGAATTTGTTATGGTTGTGATTATTATAATGGCTTGCTTTCACTGTTGTATATCATGACCTAGAGCATCAATGCTTACTGAAGAGTGTGTACATATGTGAAGAAAGAAAGAAATGAAGAATGAAAGAAAGGAAGGAAGGAAGGAAGGAGGAAGGAAGGAAGGAAGAGAGGAAGGAAGGAAGGAAGGAAGGAAGAAAGATCAGAACAAAGAAGAAAGGGAATGAGAGGGAGAGAGGGAGGAAGGGAGGGAAGGAAGGAAGGAGGAAGGAAGGAAGAGAGGAAGGAAGGAAGGAAGGAGGGAGGGAGGGAGGGAGGGAAGGAAGGAAGGAAGGAAGGAAGGAAGGAAGGAAGGAGGGAAGGAAGGAGAAGAAGGAAGGAAGGAAGGGTGTAAAGGAGGGAAGGGAGAAGGGAGAAACGAAGGAAGGAAATATTACAATGAAACCCATTATTCTATATAATTAATAAACACTAATAAAAAAGAAAGAAAAGTTTCCTTAGGTATGTATGTCCTACACACCTCTACAAAGGATTTGGGGTGGCCAAAATCAAAGAAGTCATCTAGCCAGCTCTCTTTCAAACTTTTCCTTCCCTGTAAGCGGAGCTCAGCCTTCCACTGGGCCATTTCTGTACTCATGTTCAAAACAAAAGAAGCTTCCCATGAAGGATGCCCTAGGTATCTGATGTCAGCTTAAGTCCATTGCCAACTCAGTAATGCAACCCTGGCACACCCAACTTAAATTTTGCTGGCTGACCTATGCCATGGGGAGAAACACAACTCTCTGGAGATAGCTTATTAATTAGGCCACTAAGACCAATTACATAAGCTTCTGCTTCTGTTTATTGAATGCCTTAAAGAGACCATGAATTCCTTCTCCCCACAAGTGCTAGATCTCTTCTCTTGTAAGCATCTGCTCTTTTTAAAATAGGGTCTCCCTGTATCCCGAGCTGGCCTGGAAGTTGCTATGTAGACCAGACTAGCCTCAATTTCACAGAGCTCCATCTGCCTCTCCCTCCCAAGTACTGGGATTAAAGGCCTGTACCACCATGCCCAGCAATATCTACTCTTAAATATGAAATTATAGTCAATTTCTGAAGAATAGAATAGAGATCATTAGAGAAAAAATAACTTTAAATATCTGACTCACAAGACCACTTACCTCCGACAATTAACTAATCATGCATCCTGGATTGAATGACTTCAACTCTCTGAGCCTCAAATATCCCCATTTGTTGTGTTGCCATCTTTATGTGTGATTAAGTGTGTGCACGACACAGACAGCAGGCTTAACACAAAGAAGTCACTTGGATAACACAAGAGAAAGTAACCTTCTCTATAAACCTTCCTAGTCAAATCAGAGTTTTATCCGGCTTTGATGTTGGAACTGGTTTTGAATGAAACTGGTAGATAAACCCATGGGAGGGACCTCAAACTCTCTTTTAAGAATGCTTGTTTTCCTGATAACTACTATAGGTCAATGAAATGCCCACAAACCTGAGTCAGCAGCTAGCAAGTTTGTGTTGCCCTTGGTATGGAAGTTCCTGTCTCCTAATCAAAAGCCAACTGTAGGTTTAGTGCTTCCCCATCCATTAATGAATCACTTTCATTCTTTTTCTCCTTGGTCTTAACTATAGGAATGATCCAGAGAAACTAGACGCCTTCATCATGGACAAAGCCCTTCTGGATTATGAAGTGTCAATAGATGCTGACTGCAAGCTTCTGACTGTGGGGAAACCGTTCGCCATCGAAGGTATTAGTCAGTCCCTCTTGATTTGCTTTTGCTCAGGACATACTCAGTTTGCTAACAGAGCAAGTCGTCAATGCCAAAGTCAGAGGCCGAGAGTGATTCATCTTCCCTTTTTTCATTTTCAACTTATGAGCACTAAGCGACTAAGTTGTTGAAGTTAGACATTTATTTTTCAAAAACTCAACAAACATTTATTTATGAAATTATTAGGGAAAAAAATAATAGTTTCCCAAATGATGCTGGTTCAAATATCAGAGAGTGATGGCCACGAGGATTCCAATTTTATTTTTAAAGTGAATTTGTGTTTCTGTTTTTGTTTCGTTTTGTTTTGTCACACTAGAGATCAAACCTTGGACCTTATACATCCTAGGCAAATGCTATACCATGGAGCTACACCCCAGCCTCTACTATGTATGAATGAATGGCCAATACTGTAATGAATGTGGCCTAAAAAACTAGAAAGATGGGGTTAAGGAGATGGCTCAGCGGTTAAGAGCACTGGCTGCTCTTGCAGAGGACCCAAGTTCAATTCCAAGCACCCACATGATGGCTAACAATCATCCATAACTCCAGTTCCAGGAGATCTGACGCCCTCTTTTGACCTCGGCAGCAATCACATGATACAAGTGCGCCTACCTACATGCAGGCAATACACTCATACACATAAAATTTTTAAATAAAAATTTTTAAAAATAAATAAATAAGGGGCTGGAGAAATGGCTTAGCAGTTAAGAACACTAGCTGTTCTTGCAGAAGACCAGGGTTCAAATCCCAGCATCCACATGGCAGCTAACACCATCCATAACACCAGTTCCAGGGGATCCAATGCCTTCTTCTATCCTCGATGGGCACTACACAGCACAGGTGCACATACATACATACAAGCATAACACTCATATAACACTCATATGCATAAAATAAAAATAAATTTAAGTATCTTTTAAATTAAAGATAAACAAAAATTTTTTAAAAACTAGAAAGACTATATGATTCCTTATTATGTGTCTATGTATATTCCAGACAAAGTGATCTATGTGTAATGTATATTTCCTGTCTGGTGATGAATCTTATAGGTGTCTGGGAATATCTTTCTCTTTTAGATTGTTGATGCTTCGGCCATATTCTCCTCTGAGTTTGGGCTTGAAACAATCCCATGTGGGAGTGGGTACCAATGTCCTATTTCCAGAAATTTGTACTTGCTGCGATTACGTATGTGAGAAGAGCCCCAATGTTGATATAATCCAATCTAATTCACTTTGTGCACAAAAAAGCCCAAAGCCATTATATCATATTTTCCAAACCAAATAATTAGATGAAACTACTGGGATTTAAACTGAAACACTGTATTCCCAAAATAACGTTCTAGTGGCTAGGGAGATCTAGTGGCTAGGGATTCAGCAGTTAAGAGCTCTGGCTGCTCTTGCAGAAGACCTGGGTTCAATTCCCAGTATCCACATGGCAACTAACAACCATCCGTAACTCCGGTTTCAACGGACTCGACACCCTCTTCTGAACTCCGTGGGCATTGTATGACATGGGTGCACTTACATACATGCAGGCAATGTACTCATACACATTTAAGAATAATAATAATAAAATATTTTTTATAAAAGAAGTGTTCTACAGTAGTTGGAAAATAGAAAAAAAAAAAAAACACTCACCTAATTCTAAGATTTAGTACCCCTTAGGACCTTAAACAAAATCTTGTTTGAGAACCTAGGATTGCTTTTTCCCACTGGCAGCAAGTTTTGCTTCTAACTAGATCAACACATCAATCAAATTTCATGACCAAAGAAGGATTGCTATGTCAGTATTTTCTCTCATTTTGAACAACAGTTGATATGTGGAGTGAATAGTTCAAACCAGCAAGTTTCACATCTCCCAAATCTCAGCTCCCCCTCCCTGACAGTACATGCTGACTCTCAAGACAGCCATGTATACTTGTCACAAAGCACTTTAGCTTAAAACAATCTCATGGGCATGCCCAAGTTCTATTTCAAGAAATCTTTGCTTGTTGTACGTTAAAGAGGGTATTGAGACTATTCAGATTCAAGTCTCACAACCATACTTGGTCTCTGTCTCTTCTAAACATATCAGTGGATTTTTTTTATTATTCTTTGTGTTTTGTAATGAATAAGAATATAACAGTTGATGCTGATTCTTCAAGCCTTCTCTTAGGAGCAGTCAGTCTCCTCTCCAGGAAAAATGACCTCCACCTCACTGGAGAGGAAACTCAGGATGGGAGATAGTTGGTAGTAGCATTGTAACTAAAGCATGGATATAGATGATACATAGATGATAGATAGATGATGATAGATAGATAGATAGATAGATAGATAGATAGATAGATAGATAGAGAGATAGACAGATAGATAGATGATAGATAGATGATAGATTGATAGATGATAGATAGGTAGATGATAGATTGATGATAGATAGATAGATAGATGATAGATTGACAGATAGATAGATGGATAGATTGATGATAGATAGATAGATAGATGATAGATAGATAGATAGATAGATAGATAGATAGATAGATAGACAGATGATAGAGATATATATTAATGTGTATGGAGAGAGCACTACAAAAACCAATATACTGTTTTAATGTAAAGATGGAAAAATCTAGTTTATGTGGCATCTGGGGATGCAGGAGGAGTGTTACATTTTCTGTCCAAAATGCTTGGAGTAATTTCTGTCCCTCCTACCATTAGTGACTGCTAATAATAAATCATTTGTTGAAGGCATAAGAATAAGGGGTTCTATTTTCCACCTTAGTTTCCAGGGGGCAACCCTAGCCTGTCAAAAGGCAGTGGTAAGATGGCTTGTTTGCCTCTGCTGGACCCAGTGCCAGATGCCACATAATTAACTCCCTGCTGTTTTCCTGTTTACATTTCCATCTGTGCTCCTGAGACTAAGTATCTTCTGGTTCCTATCATTCTAGATAGACACTGAGTTGTTCTCAAAATAAGCACAGAATGGCACATGGAAGAGCTCACCCTACAATACAGCAAAAGAACAAAGATTTGAGTAGAGATCATCACCACCTCTATTGGTTTCATCTCTGAAGGAATGAGATGTGTGATGGTTAATAATGATCACATCAACTTGACAAGATCTAGAATTGCCTAAGAGGCAGGCTTCTGGGCATGGGTGTGAGGGATTGTATAGATGAGGTTAGCCTCTGGGCACATCTGTGAGGAATTATCTCAATTTGGTTAACTGAGTTGAGAAGACCCACCCTAATATAGGCAGCACCATTCCACAGGTTGGGGTCTTAGACAGCCTGAAAAGGAAAAAGTTGGCTGAGCGTAAGAATCCATCTCCCTCTGTTTTGGCACTGCTGATGCAATGTGACCATCTGCAAGTTCCTACCATGATGACTCCCTCAACATTATAGACTGAACCCTCTAACTATAAACCAAAATAAACTCTTCCCTAGGTACCTCTCTTTTCTGGTATTTCACCTCAACAACAAGGAAAATAATGAATACAGGATGCAAATCAGAGAATTTATTTTAATAGCCCACACCAACAAGTTCACAACCTAAAAAACAAAAAGCACTAGTCAGCTTTCCATCTTTGTGACAGAATTTTTGAAACGTTTGTTTTGGCTCATGGATTTAGAGGTTTCAGCCCATGGTTGTTAAGCTCAGTTGTTCCCAGGCATATGTTGAGGCAAAACACTATGACAAGGAGAATGTGATAAAGCAAGGCTGCTCACTTCATGGTGACCAGGAAACAGAAAGCAAGAGAGGAAAGAGCCAGGTACAAAATATACCCTTAAGGGGCTGGAGAGATGGCTCTGCAGTTAAGAGCATTGACTATTCTTGCAAAAGACCCGAGTTCGAATCCCAGCACCCACATAGCCACTAACAACCATTTGTAACTCCCCTTCCAGGGGATCCACGCCCTCTTCTGACCTCTACAGGCACTTCACAATACAGGTGCACCTCCATGCATGTGGGCAATACCCTCATATAAAATAAAAATAATAAATAAAATATTGTAAAAACAAAACATACCCTTAAGAGCCCATGGTCAAGGGCTGGAAGGATGGTTCAGTGGTTATGAGCAATGACTATTCTTGCAGAAGACCTGAATTCAAATACCAGCAACCACATGGTGACCAACAACCATTCAGCTTGACTCCAGTTTCAGGCTATCTGATGCCCTCTTCTGTCCTCTGCAGGCATTGCAGGACATGGGGGGTGCACTTGCATACATGCACACAATACATGCATACACATAAAATAAAAATTAATCAAAAGAGAGAGAGAGAGAGAGAGAGCACATGGTTAATGACATGCCTCATCCAACAGCAGAACAGACCCAGCCTCCTAAAGTTTCCACTCTCACATAATAGTATGTTAAGCTATGAGACCATAAATGGATTATCCATTCATGAGGTCAGAGCCTTCGTGCCCCAATCACCTCCAGAATGCCCTCCCTCTGAACAAGGCTGCTTTGGGGACCAAGTCTTCAACATATAATCTGTCAGGGAACATTTAAGATGCAAACTACGAAGTAGAACTTAGAAAATACAAAGGAATTCTATTTATAAGTTACACACAAAAGGGGAAAATGACCAATAAAGACATGTAAAGGAGCTGGTGCCTGCCTAGAAGGCCTTGAGTTCAATCCCAAGCATTGCAAAAAAGAAAAAATATCCTAGTAAATTTTGAATGCTGGTTTGCTGCTGTTGATGTTGTTGTTTTGGTTTTTTGAGATTAGAATCTCATATAGCCTAGGGTAGCTTCAAACTCTGTATGTAGGTAAGGTGGTCTGGAGCTCCTGAGGGTTGGGATTACAGGCGTGCATCACAATGCCTGGCTTTGAATGCTGGTTTGTTTTTTTTTTTAATGTCGATCTCAAGGATTTCTTAAGGGAAAAAAAATTACCATCTCTTACTTTCATTTTTAATTAAATTTTTTAAATATGTTTTTCTTTAACAAGTAGAGTTTTTAAATTTATAAATATGTGAGATTATTATTAAATCA